GTCTGAATAGTTCAGTAGTAAGGTATCTGATTGCAGAACTAGATGATATGTGTTCGAATCTCTGAAAGGACATCAAGGAATTCCTGAAGTTGCAGATATGCCTTACTGATGAGTGCCAACAGGAACAAAACGTGGGTCTAAGGTTTCCTTCTAACCAACATCAATCAAAGTGCAGAGTAAATATATGAAATGCGGGATTCGACAGCACGAATAGCAATTACAGAATCAATTGAAGGCAGTGATTACTAAATAATCCTGACCAAAAACTACAAGACGATTCAATGTTCTTGCTAAGTGGGAGTTGGTACTATTCATAATACACACCACTCGGCTTCGAAATAAGCAGGAATGAGTTCATCCTTGAAAAGCAAAACAGATTTCGAAATACTTTAGCTTAAGCTTGTCAAAATCTAGCAAACCTTTATTCACTGAGATTTATTAGCTTTCAGATAAATGGGGACTCATAGGAGATTTGTCAGTCTAACAGCACTCTTGTTCGTTAAAAGTGCTCAAAATAGTGTCACTTAACTCACTTTAAAGATAATATTTAACTTTTCCATTCAAAAGAAATTGAAAACCTACGTCAACAAGACATAACTCCACTAGGTTGAGGCGGATGACGATAAGGATAACTGATTTACTTTTACCAAGTCATCACCTACAGAAGGGTCGGTTGATGCTGGTCTAATTAAGCCTCTTACGGTAACCACATGACTGCTTGGGAACCAAAGGTTGAGTCACCAATCCAACGCTGTACCGTCTCGCATTATATGACTGGAGTATATTCAGTGAAAGCAGTTACGAGACAAGTAAATCAAGGTTGAACCTGGCACATAAGTGAATCCGTTCAAGTTGCTACACTTCGAAAAAGGCATGGAGAGAACAAATAGATAGAAAAAGGCTCACATCAAACTAGACAAGTATTTCATGGTGGTAAGGTGCTCTCAGTCAGGTTAACAGAAGTGTTAACCATTATACGCGAATCAAATGCGATCCCCTCTGACTGGTCTGAATCACTGATTATTCCAGTCTTCAACAAAGGCGAGAAGTCCTCTTCTGATAACCACAGAGGAACCAACCTGACGAACATAGAGTCCGATATCTTAGGTTCTATAATTCTCCGACACCTGAGTGGAGCTCGGGAACAACAAGCCCGAGAAAACCAAGCAGGCTTTAGACCTGGCCGCGGATGTATCGACCAAATATTCACACAGCACCAGGTCCTGGAGCATAGACACGCTTACCGACGCCTGAAAACAGCTATATTGCTCGACCTGAAGGTGGCATTTGACTCCGTTGATCGAGAAGTCTTATGGTAATGTCTCTCACTGAAAGGCGTGCCGAGTAAGTACATAATCTTATTAAAGGCTCTCTACTCGAACACTTGTGGGTGTGTTAAAGCCTATGGTGAGATGTCCAGGGAGCTATGCTCGTCGAGTGGTGTCCGTCAAGCGTGCCCACTCTGTCCATTCTTATTCAATTTTATCATAGATATTCTCATGCAGGTCTCCCTCTCGTCACCTGATTACACAGAGGTTGACCTGATCGGTGCAGAATTTTCGTTAGACCTAGAATATGCAGATGACATAGTCCTGTTAGGTGAAGACGCTGACAAGGTGCAGTCTTCTGGATACTTTGAGTGGGAATTTGAGAATGTTTGGGATGGGGTTCTCACTGCCCAAATGCAAATTGTTGCTCCAGGATTGATCTTCAACGGTGCTACGGCTAATAATAGAGAGTGAAGTGATTGTGTCGACCACTTCACTTACCTAGGAAGTGGCATCAGCCTTGGTGGCTCAGTAACCGATGAAATTTCTGCACGGATACAGAGGGCTCGGTCGGCTTTTGCTAATTTACACCACCTATGGCGCCACCGTGATATCCGACTGCCTATTAAATGTCACGTGTACTACACATCAGTCAGGTCTGTTCTACTGTATGGCTGTGAAACACGGCCACTGAAGGTGGAAGACATGAGAAGGCTGGCTTCAGGTATTTGACCAGCGTTGCATACGTAGTGTAAGCAGTATTCCGTGGTGTCACCACGTGAGTAATGCAAAAGTCAGGTATAGAGTTTAGGGAGAGGAGGTAAATCAGTCGACGAGGTCATGAACCTTCATCGACTGAGATAGTTGGGACACGTACTACGTACGCCTAGTCACCGATCGCCTCATCACACAATGTTGGCTGAAGTAGGTCCAGGCTGGAAAAAGACCCGAGGTGGCCAGAGTAAAACATGGCACCAATGCATAAAGTATTTGACTGTTGGTTTGAGCCATGTGGGGCGATGCAGACTAGGTGGTTGGGGTCCGCAGAACAAGAGGAACTAGTGGCTCAGAGCCGATGTCAGTGGCACAAGTGTACATACATTATCCTCATCTTAACATTATGCCGATTCCCACCATTTTGTCATTCTTCCTTTCTTCTCGTAGTTTATATTTCTTTTGACTGGATTTTTTTATCTTCATCTTACACCTCACTAACTTCCTACTTGATGTACTGATATAAGCTGTGGCAACTCGGACCGTTACGCAGTAATGCTTGGTCCTATGTTGATATTGATGATGAGACAAGTATTTGTGAGGGGAAGGAATCTTAAAATGAGGGTTACCGAACATGCTTAAATCTTGGACGACGTCAAAGAGTGGATACATCTGCGTCATTGTGACGGATCTTCAGCCATGTCAAAAATGGTCTCCAACCATTGATTTCAGTCGTCTCCCAGACAGGCAGTCTAGAACTCCCCCACACGGGTCAGACCAACAATCAGGGATTTCATGGTCTAGGCTTGACCATCCTAAGCCTTCTCCCAAACCAAATCTACTTCAGCTGAAACTGCATAACAAGACAGGCAGCAGATTGGCATGGATATCAAATGTCCAAGCCACCTCAGTTAGCGAAGGTTTACAACCTCATAGACTGATTTGCTTTCATGCTTAACGTCAACATTGCTCACACGGTAATTCCACCATAAGTGAACAACGTCGTGAAGACACTTGAGTTCGAAAATCTGTAACCACTTCAAATCTACTTTCATCAGCCATGTTCCACCCGTATAACAGGGCAGACCGTAGCCCAGTGTACTCATCCTTTGATAGTCAGATATCTCTCCAGCACCAGAGATGATGGAACTCAGCAAATGCCAACCGGATCCTCTGTATCTACGCTGAGATATCGTCAGTAACTAGGCTGTTTGGGTTGATGCAACTTCCGAAATAAGTGAAGTGGTCGACATATTCCACCACTTCACTCTTTATCCTTAAATTTGGAGTAGTTGCAGACCAGTCCTAAAGCCTCATTTTACTTTTGACAGTTGCAAAATGCATGGGACATACACTCAGATTTCTGCTAAGGGTGTTCACAAGACCCTTCAGTTTGACAGCGTCTTCGTCTAGTAGGACAATGTCGCTTGAGTACTCTAAGCCAACCAGGCACCCTCCTGGAAGTAAGTTGAAATTTCTGAAGTCGAAGGTACCTAGAAGTTATGCCCATTAGTAGGTTTACAGAAAAGTTAGAAAGAAACAGTGACAGCAGACATCCACGGCACAAAACACTGGTTATCATTACTTGGGATAACAACTGCCCATAAATATTTACAATCCTGAGTCATTTCGCGAAGAGAGGTTTGATTATTATATTATACTTGCTCAGTACACACTTCACAGATAGACACTGCCACAACACCGATTGGTTGATAAAGTTGAATGCTGTCTTGAGGTCAAGAAATATGCGAAGTGTCATCAAGTATATCCGTATTCCAGAACCTGTCAAAGAATTAAGTTGTGATCGATGCACCCTCATCCAGGTCTGAGAGCTGCGTGATTTCCTTGAGTTCGCTGTTTTACAGCTGCAATTAGGTGCCGTATAATTATGAACCCCTGGATCTCAGATATATTAGTCGAACTGACTCCCCTATGTTAACCACAAGGATACTTTTCTCCTTTCTTTTAAACTGCAGTGATCAGTGATCTAGACCAGCCTGATGGGATCGCCTTTGATTTCCACACTATACCTAGTATCTCCGTTACTCTACTCAGTAAACTTCTACCTCCTTCTTTGAAAAAATCTAGTAGCGAAATGTCAGGTCCTGCTGCTCTGTATGGTCTAAAGTTTGGAACAGTACTCTCAACTTCAAGCATTAACTATGTCGTCATAACAGCCATTGAGCGTTATAGAACTGATGAGTGAACGGTATTGATGGCAAGTTTAATGTTTCAAAAGACTAGATAGATTACAAAGTTCCGAACCTTCAAAGACTGAGGTCTTTGTGTATTTAGTCGCCTCCAACATTTAAATCTCAAGTTAGTTCTTACACTGTTCTATGCTGTCATTATTAATCCAAAAGAAAAGTAAAGGCTTTTTACCTTCATCATTTTTAATTAAAACATCCCATTTATGTGACAAGGAAAGAACCATGAATACATACTACTGCAGCCCATAGCAAATTCAAGTTTTTTATACCTGAGTTTAACAGACCAAGATCAATAGTATTTCTCACAATCCATGCTATAAATCACAAGACTGATTAGTCTGCTGAATATTTTTCTTCTCACCTCAAAATTAGATCTTTCAGTTACAGAATTTATAAAAAGGTGGCAGTTAAAAACCAAAAAGAAAAATCACTGGCAAATTGAAATTAGGTCATATGATAATAAATAATAATGATCAACAATTCATTTTATGCACCAGTGAAATTTGTCAGCAAAATACCCCCTTCCCACACATTAGCTCATGACTGCTAACTTCATACAAAGATAAACAGTAAGTTAGCAAAAATATTTCTCGATAAAAAAGATTAAAAACCAGTCTTTCTGTTGCAATACATAGAATGAAGTGAATATATAGTAAATACTGACGGAATTTCATAAACAACATGATCAATCATCATGAGGTCAGATAAAAAGAAAGAAAACCCTATTAATTAGAGGTATAGAACAAAAGACAAAAATCTGTAAGTCAGTAAACAGAAAAAATAGGTGGAAGAATACAGAAAACAGATATCAGTGATTAATCTTGTCAAAATAATATTTGTACATGATGTTTGGATCATTCCAATTGTAAGTCGTCAAACAGAGAAGTGGTATCGTGAAGGCATACATCAGAATACATTTTGTTGTTCTTTGATAAGGGAATAGAGATGATGAAAGTCGACTTGTGTTTGCACTAGGTAAATTGTACATTGGTGTTACTGAATTGAAATTTAGATAATGCGACTGTAACCAGTCAATAGCAGGTGATCCTAAATACTGGATTAATCGAAGCATCGCTCTACAATCGCCTTCTGCACTATGTGCATTTTTATGCTTATCACCGAATACACGTTCATGAACATCAGCCAAATGAAAGGAATGCTTATTTGTAGTAGTAATTGGCTTTTTAGGACTAGAATGAGATACAGGTACAGGAGTAGACGATTGATCATCGGTTGAAATGAAACCTGAATCATCTGAATTTGTCCCAGCTAGCTGAGAAGCAAATTCACGGAACAAATGTAAAGTGTCTGTGCATACGATTGGTCCATTTGTACAGTCATTAAGACTGTAGTTTTTCCCTTTCACGTTTAGTATTGAGCTCTCAATAGTGGAAAATCAAAACGTAGTCCATTATGTGCAATGAGACATATAGGTGTATCTAATCGATTTAGAAACAAGTGAATAAGATCCACAGCACTAGAATCAAATCCTTTTGATGGAATAAGTTATCAGAATTTAAACCTATATCGTGAAAAGAAGTTAGGAGGTGCAGACTTACCAGAGATTTTAGAAGCTATCGATGAAATTGTTCGTGTAGGATTAAAGCACAGTGTGAGCTTATTTTCTACTCTAGGTTCACCTGTAGCATTCTCCAGATTAAATCGACTAGAAGCCAACATGCATAGTTCTGTGATTTCTGGATTGAAGTTTGCAGACGGTAGGCCCGTTGTCTCGACATCAAATAAAACTAGAGTTGACAGAAATAATGGTCTTGAAGACTTCTGCAGATAAGGGTTGCACTTCTAAGTGAAAACTTACGCCTAGTGATGATAATTTCATTTTGTCGCAGTTACAAAAGAACGGAAAATCAAGTACTCGGATATACGTATGTAATTACCCTTTATTAAAAATAAGTGTAAACAAATTATTGCTAGTGTAATAAAATGGCGGGTTACTTTTTAAGGTGATCACTATATACAGACAGATACATAAGCGAAATTCAACCTGACAAGTGACTATAAGTAATACTACTACTTACATTTACTTTGGAATGCAATTGGAAATTTCAGTCAACAGTAATTATATATTCTATTTACGATTTGGTGTCAAGAACTGAAACTTATCTTGCCAGTGCAGATGCATTCACTCCTTTTACTAACCATCTACTTATTATCTCATCTTTCATTCCTTTTCTTTTCTTCTTCAGCATACTTGTGAAGTATGGAAACTTAAAGATACTCACTTCTAAAGCTTTACCTTCAATTTTTTTCTACCTTGCATTTAGAACCTGTCAAATGCTCAATGAATAATTCCGAATAGTCTAAAAAGTATAATGGAAAAAGAATCAGTAGATCATTGGATTCATTAATGCTAAATATAAATGTAACAAGACAGCCTTCAACAATTGACTGAAATATTGAAGAGAACAGCAGCATTCTGCAAAACCAACTTCGACTTAAATTACGCCCTATAGACATGGATGAACACGTGATGGCTACCAAAAGCTTAGACAATAAGAATATTGAATTAGGCGTTCTTATATGGTGATATTTCCGTCTCTTCGTAGTTACGTTCCTCATTTATTTCCGTTTTCGATTTTGTCTCTTCCTGGCAGTCTTTTGTGAATCGTTCTGAATAGTGATTCTTCAATAAAATCTTGAATAAAACACTCATCTCTTTCGTTGATCATCAAGGCATGTTGTTAACATACGTATTCTATTTGCAGGATCCTGTAATTCGATAGGCTTCCCGAATGCGTTGAACTTCTATATGTCGTTGTATTTAGATTGTCATCCTTTGTTCTTTAAATTTTGGAGTCCAAGATTGTTAGTCCCACCAATTCATTATCTATTTCCATGGTGACTTTTATTGATTTTCCTGACTGTCTAGATGTAAATAAAGTTTTTCTAAATCCTTATTTATTACTTATAGCGCATCGTCTATATATCATCAAATTTCAGTCGACGATATGAACGACTTTCGAGCTTTTTCTTCCAAAAAGTCAATAGATATTTCAGCTATTATTTGTGAGATAGGCGATCCCATAGTTATTACTTTTTGGTGGTACGACTCCGTCGAGTGTGAAAAATGGTGTTGTTAGGCACAGTTCTACTCCGCTTTAGGACTGCAACAATTCCCAATTTAACTATAGGGAGTGAAGTGGTTGAATGTGTCGAACACTTAAGTTACTCGTGGAATCGTATCAGGCCAAACGGGTTGGTTGTTGATGAAATCTCAGCTCGGATGCAACATGTCTGTTTGAGATTTGCTAACTTGCATCATCTGGCGCCGATTAGTCAGATATACGACTAACTCTTAAGAAACGTGTATACTGCGCTGCAGCTTGTTTTTGTTTTATGACCGTGGGACATGGCCGTTAAAAGTAGAAGACATAAAACGATTACAGGTTTTTGATTGCAGATGTCTTCGCAGCATTGCTCGTATTTCGTGGGATCACCGTGTGAGCAATGTTGAAGTCAGGCGAAGAGTGCTAGGCAAGATAGCAAGTCAGTTGATGAAGTTGTGAAGCTTCACTATCGGAGGTGGCTTGGACATGTGTTGCGCATGCTGAGTCACCACCTACCTCGACGTGCCATGCTAGAGGAAGCTGGATTAAGTTGGAAGAGGATTCAGGGCGGCCAGACCAAGATTTGGCATCGGCCGATGAAGTCTCTTACTGTTGGTCTGAGCCGTGTTGGGAGATGCAGACTACGTAGTTGGGGTACCCGAGACGAAGGAATTAGTGGTTGAGAACTCTTGGTGACGAATGAAAATAGGTTGCAGTGGTGCAGATGCACTCCCTCTACGATGTCCTGTGAGTCTTGAATATTCGCACTAACGTTTGTCTTCAGATCATTTGTCTCACGTTACTTTATCTACTTTGATATCAACTTTTTTCTAAACACCTGTTCTTTGACTACAATCATGAAGTATGGCAAGTTGGAGTGATGTACCTTTGTACGAGGTTCTAGGTTGATTTTGTCTTCTGAGCATTAGGATCCAATTAGTTTTTTTTGTGTATCACTTGTAGTTCCATTGTCTATGAGTTTACTCAATTTTAAACTCTGTTTTTGTTTATTCTGTCGATAGATTGTTTCTTCTTTAACTTGTACGATTTCTAGTAAGATTTCAACTTTTTCTCGTTGTAGTGCTTTATACAGTTTTTTTCCCACTTCATAACTATCTCTCCTTATATTGAATAGCTGTTTATTCATTTTGCGTAAGTTTTCTCGAATGCACATTTTTGATATACGTGCAATAACCAAGACTACACGCAGGAAGAATTCTTGGACCAAGATATGTGACCGAAGGATTTTACTATCTGAAGTGAGGTGGAATAAGCAACGAACACATTTCAGAAGGTATGCTCAGGAATTACAAAACTTGAGATTTAGATGACGAATATTGGATATCAAGCACGAATTCAAATTCCCTATGGGAACAATCGATTTCCTTTCCCGCGTATAAAGACGGTGCACAATCGTCCAGGTAGCTGGAAAATACACGTGAAGTGGGGTAGAACTCTGCATACAACACCATTTTTCACACTCGACGGAGTCGTACCACCAAAAAGTAATAACTATGGGATCGCCTATCTCACAAATAATAGCTGAAATATCTATTGACTTTTTGGAAGAAAAAGCTCGAAAGTCGTTCATATCGTCGACTGAAATTTGATGATATATAGACGATGCGCTATAAGTAATAAATAAGGATTTAGAAAAACTTTATTTACATCTAGACAGTCAGGGAAAATCAATAAAAGTCACCATGGAAATAGATAATGAATTGGTGGGACTAACAATCTTGGACTCCAAAATTTAAAGAACAAAGGATGACAATCTAAATACAACGACATATAGAAGTTCAACGCATTCGGGAAGCCTATCGAATTACAGGATCCTGCAAATAGAATACGTATGTTAACAACATGCCTTGATGATCAACGAAAAGAGATGAGTGTTTTATTCAAGATTTTATTGAAGAATCACTATTCAGAACGATTCACAAAAGACTGCCAGGAAGAGACAAAATCGAAAACGGAAATAAATGAGGAACGTAACTACGAAGAGACGGAAATATCACCATATAAGAGGATATGTCAGAAGCCATTGGAAGAAATCCTAAAATAAATGATATTTCTACAGCAATTAGTCAGGCGCATCTCATAAGAAATAAGATAGACTGATTCAAAAATGCAGTCAAAGCAACTACAGAGCAGTGTACTATATACAACACTGTGTACAGACTTCCCGGTCAGCTATGCACGATAAATATAAAGATTGTTGAGAACTAGACAAAATGAAAATCAAGGATTAACTAAGGGTTAACAAAGAGACAACTTCGGAATAAAATCCATCGACAACAGCTTTTGCATGGGATGGAAAAAAGTAATATCGATTGGAATAACACTACCACACTAAAGTTAAATATAAACGAGTAGAAAGGACTAATAATAGGACCGATATTTGCGCAAGCCAACCATATGGAATGTTGTGTAGAACAAAGAGATTAACTAACAAGGAGATTATATATGTGGTATATGTGGATGGATGTACGATTGAACATTCCAGGTGATGATTTGATCGAATGTGCTTATTTCGTTTGAAATGACACTAAAATGAAAGCATCATTGTCTGCAAGCTTGTCATTGTGAACATGTCATAAACTACGCTACTGATTTCAGATATATGTATTGCAATACCTATGTTGCATGTATTTGGAAATCACTGGAACTACGGGTTGAACCTATAGCTTTATGGCGGACTAGGGAACATTGATAGAGATTATGATTCTAAGCAACGAAAACATAGTGTTCTATTGAGTAGTATAGGACTATCCAACAAAAGATGCGATTATTTCTGGATTTATTTCAGTAAATGATGGTGAAGAATAGAACAGCAGTTAGATGTTTTCCTTTCGCAGTAATCATCAGTTTACGATGAGTTATAGTCAAGTGCTAGTTTGCAAGTGATAATACTGAACACAGTGCTGGTGTTGGAAAAAGATGACCTCAGATTGTTGACTAACAGACAAGTCAGAGTAGAGCCGGGAGCTAAATAGTCCGTTGGTCAATAGTGTCTTTGGTCAACTGCTTCCTACTGGTCTATTACCAAATTTTAAGCTATGGCTTTAAAAGCTATAGCTTCACTTGCAATATCTGCATTTACAAACCTGTTACCTGTCTATTACACTCGCAGGAATGAGAAGCGAATAATAGTTAGTTTCCGTAAACGTCACCTTTAACACTGCCATTCTTAAATTTTTACATCAGGAGATATAAAGGTGGACACATTCTGAAATACTTTTATTGAAGATGCAATGGAACACATCCACATTTTCTGAGTGTTTAAAGGCAAATGAGTGACCTGAAAAATAAATTGAATTGGGATGTAAAAACGACGTTGCCACTTTCAGATTACGGAGATGGGGTGGTGGAAATACGTATACGCTACTTTCACTCAGAATTCCATATGATACTGCAATAATCGACATCTCGGAGAACATGCAGAACACTCATTTCTTTCATCAAAAAATAGCGTGTACTCATGTTCTTATATATAATACGTTGTGCGGGGGATATTTTGTCAGTTTGCAGTCGCGTCATATTGTTCACTCACTAAACCTACGCAACTGGGATTTATTCAACTTGTTTTCGTCTTTGAGTGACTGCCGAAAGACGTTGAATGCACCAATAAGAAAACAGTTGTTACTTTTACCTTTCAGAATCGATTAATGCAGAAATGATGGACATTACTTTATAAATACGGTTTGTCAGCGATGCATAGGAACCTATCTAGGTTTCTGACTGCTCTTTCCCACTTAAAGTAAAAGTATGT